TGAGCTTAACAACTTATCTTAGAACCACAGGATAAGTTGTAAAGGCAGTTCTAGAGAAATATTTAAAAGTTTAGATTTTAAAACTAAAAGTAGTTTCATTAAGCTATGTATAACTTTAATACTAATAAATTTTTATTAATTATGTATTATTTATTTATTATACAGTATTATTTAATCATCTACTATTTATCTAATTATATATTAAATAGTTTATTTGTAGAAATTACTATTAATATATTTTGTAAGCTATTATCATGTTTAAATTTATAAGAAGAAGGTATAAATTAGCCTAATATTCTTTGTATAGGAATTATACAATCTCTTGATTCTTTATAAAATTTTTCATGCCAAATTTCTACATCACAATGTTCATCATTCTTTAATGATAAGAAAAATCTTCGTGTTGTATATGGGCGATACCATCGGACATAAGCTAGATGATGCGTATTCTCATTAAATTTATGTTGAAAAAAGAATTGTATTTGTCCAGGATATATATCTACATTATTATCACTATAAGCCAAAAACTTTGCCCTGATATATGAACGATTTTCATATCTAGAAGCAATCTTCGATTCATATATTTCAGCTCCTATTTTTAATTTTTCAAATTGGGTAACAATTTGAGTAACATCTTGATTGTTTAATGGTGATATATCATATAGTATAGAATAATATTCTTTTAAATTTTGATAAATATTATTTGAAAGAATTATATCTCTATTAACTAGTTTAATCATCTCTCCAAGATATCTTTCTTTTCCTGTGATTACACTAACAGTATCAATCTTATTTGCCATTTCCAGATATACTACCAAATCCTTACTTTCAAAATGTTCAGTCATTTTTAAACTTCCACATACTTTTTTATCTAAAAGTAGAAGAACTTGGTCTAATAGTAATTTAGCCTCATTCTCATTAACAGATTTTATTCTATATTCTACTTGTATATTTTTCATTAGGATACGCATAAGTTCAGGTTCAATTAACCAATTATTTGTCGAATAGGATCCTAAAAGACCATTCATCCATTTAAAAGAATAGTACCAATAACACAGGTCGAAATTTGATATATCCTACACTTAAGCTATACAAATCGGATAGCAGATGAGTAAGGATGACGTAGGATATCCTACACATATAGTACACGTATAGTATACTAATCCTACACAAATACTCAAATACGTAGAATAGGTGTAGGATATGTGTAAGATATGTGTAGTTGGTTTGCAGACATGTGTGAGATATCCTATATGTCATTGCACAGGATAGGTGTAGGATAGGTGTAGGATATGTCAAATTCGGACCTGTGTAAGCATATGGTGGACCATAATTGAGACAACATTGCTTAATGTGAAGAGATAAATAAATATTTGGTGATATCAGATGTTGACCATAATGTTCCTCAATTAACTTTGCCATATTTGTTAGCCTACAATATGCTTCATCTAAATCATTTTGCATAACTGGTTTATTAATGAATTGCATACACAGACAAAATTAAAAATAATTTTTTTATCTTCAAAATTTAACATATACTACATGCAAGGAATAGCATATACTTGATAGAATATTCTCCACTGATTTGCTGTAAATTGACTAAGTCCTTCTGATCCACGTGTGATTTTTGATGAAAAATGTCCTATATCTGATAGAACTTTAATGCTTGATATACAGTCAGGGCATATTCCAAATTAGAGATCATTTGTGATCAAAGATCTAGAATAATCTACAAAATTCGGCGAAATTTGATTGACCCTGTCACATTTTTTTTATATCATTTTCTCTTAAAGGTTTTACAAGATTTTTTACTTACACTTGTTACCAAATGATATTTATAAAACCTCTACTTTCGATCATCCTAATTAATCTCTGATTATAACTTAAGCTAAAAAAAGTAAGTAAAACCTTAAGATCAGGATTTTTTGATACAAAATTTGATAGTTGGAAAAAGTGAACTTGTAAGTTTTGTCATTACTGTTGGGTGTTTGTAGAATCACCATTTATTGATATGTTTTTTTTTGGTTTATCAAACTTTTTTTATTAGAACTAAAGCTTTTTTCTCTTTTGTACTATAGGTTTCTTGAACGTAGCATAGTAGTTAAATTTTTTAGACATAATACAGTAGAGTTATATTTTTTTAGATGTAGCATAGTAGAGAAGATTCAGGACTTGTAGTACAGTAGAGTTAGCTTCAGGACAGGTAGAGCATAGTAGAATTAGATTTTTTGGACGTAGCAGAGTAGTTAGATTTTTTGTATATAGCATGATAGAGTTAGATTTTTTGGACATAGCATTGTAGAGTTAGATTTTTTGGA